ACCTCTGCTGAAGATGAAGGAGCGATTATAGATAAAACGTTCTCTTTGAGCCAATGGAAACGTGACCCGAACGCAGAGGAGGCTGCCACAACATACACATATACAAGACTCACTGTATAGAGAAAAGCAAATGTACAGGCACAAATCACACAGGGCTGTTAGCAGACTGCAGACCAGTGCACGCTCCAAACAGCACTGGATCTGGTCCTGTTTGAAACTGACACTCCATTTTCATTTGTTTGTGCAAGTAATTTTCACACAGAACACTTGTAGATATGACTTGGAGAAACAGCTGCTGGACTCTCTGACATAGTTTTTTATGGAAACAGCAGATTGTTTTGTTGTAGGGACTGCAGTAACATTTCAGGATTTATCCGTAGTTCATTCCTAGTGTGTGAGTTCTGTTTTCTGACAATTAAAATTAAACATTTCTGATTCTGAATGGCCAGAATTGAGCATATGTGCTTTTCCTAAATCCTTGGCCACAGTGGAGGACTATTTCAGTGTTTTGAGATGTTGTCATCCATGACATAGTCTTGTCATAAGTATCATTACTGAACTCCAGACAGATCTGAATGGGCCCTGGCAGAGGAGGAACGCGGCCTCACTGTGCCAGCCTGTGCGACATGTGGGAACAGTTAGTGTACACACGTTGCCAGCAGCTCTCTGGGCAGAGCCACAGCTGCCACACACGCTCCAGTCTGCTCCCTCACTCGCACCTATACTGCTCTAGTGCTGAGGCTAACTACTTCTGGAGCAGTCCCTCTCACCTCCTCCTCCAGTCCTCCGGCTCACTGCAGTTGACAAAAGGACAAAATATAATGTGGCTTCCCTCCTCCTGCCCATTCTGATTGCTGTTGTTTGATGTATTGGAGGCTTAATAGTGCCATTGATTTTGTCCTGCTTGCTCTCATTGGGTCCTACTGTCTCAGGATAGCTGTCAGAAGATGGATCATCTCTCACATAGGCCCTGCAGAAGTGTGCAGTTCAGGGATCACTACAGAAGAACATGGAGGAGGCATTACATAGGTACTAGTAATACATATTTTTGTCAAATTACAAATTGTGGACAAATTGCAGCCTAAATATAACAAACAGAAGTAACAGAGTGTCAAATCCAAGCCTTATTCTTGATAGCACATCAAGCTAGCTTCCCAAGCAGCTTTTCATGACCAGCATGATCACTACAGCATCCATTTAGCTGTCAGTCTGCAGTCCAGAGTAGAGTCAGAATGTCTGGGCCTCTTCCTTTGGTTCAGTGTGTCCCACTGTGGTCACTGGTGTGCATCTTATACCCACTGTAACTTTAGCAGTAGAGCTGGGAACACTGGGCCCTAGCTGGACGTTAGTTAGCCACTATCATCAACTGAGCCTCTTGTATCCCCTAACACCAGAATTAGCTTGTCCATAATTTAACCTGACATTCATGGGACATACTTGGTTTTAAATGCAACAACACTGGTTATCCAGTAGGCCTATTCAATTTTTGCAAAGTTTCATTTTGCTCTAAAACATTTTATGTTAATCAACAAAGTAACATAATTCAGTTGTAGCTAAATAGAAGAAAGTACAAGTGATCATATTGCGTGGCTCAGATTTCAACTTTTCTTGTGTCTCCATAGAGATGATAATACTTTGCCAAGAAAGTTCCACAGTATGGCATACAATTTTCACCATTATGGTTGACCTGTCTGTAGAAAGGAAGGCCTGTTCAGAGTAAGAGTGCATTATTTAGCCATAATAAAGGAATATATGCAAAATAGATCAAGTTTATTGCTGTACTGTGGGACATTTCAGGTGAAGCAGTAACATCTCCATGGGGACAAGAAGGTCCCCTAGAAATGTTACATAGTGTACCTTTAGTGTACAAATGAAGGTCCAGACGGGGTTCGGGTTGCAGTGTTGATGACAACGCACCAGGAGGTAAGCTCATACAAGACCATAGCATGTTTGTGTGTGTGCAGACTGATGGCTTGTTTTATCTAAATATACTGTACATATCTCCTGCGGCTGTCGCTGGGGTAGACTTAACTGTATTGCCAGTCACTCGTCATTGCGGTATCTTTCTCTCCTTCTCACACATGCATATATAAATTCCAGCTTGCATCCACGTCCTATCATGAATATCACAGACACATATCAGGTGTCCGTGCTCCCGTTGCTGTGTCCACTAAGACTTTACAGCATGTTTGACCTATCTAGAGTGACGGGGCGTGCCAAAGCTCCTCTACTATTCCAAATATCAAATACCGGATTCAGCGATAACCACAGGGGGGTCTCTGGAGGAACATGTACAACTGTGTGTACAAGAGCCACAAATCATAGAGCCTTTTCCTGTAATTTTGTCTTAATCCGCAGCAGTTAAGTGAGTGAGCTTGTTTCTCCGTAGATCTGACTATAAGTTGGTCGGGTGGGGGGCATTCTGCTTGCTTGTTGAGATATTGTTTTTGCCTGGAATGTTCTGTGTAAATTCTTTAACTCTATAATATGTCCTTTAACTCTGTAGAAGGCCCATATTATGCTATTGTCTGATCTATGTTATGTTTTTGTTGAGGAAAAAACATAATATACCTGGAGTTGCATTTTGTTTCATTCACACAGACTTGCTAGAATCATTTAGGTATTATCTGACCTGGAATGTACAATACCTACTAAACAAAAGGTAAAATGTAGCTGTTAACTTTTAAACTATCAATAGATGACATCACAAGGTAGAACAGAGCATTTTGTGCTTTGAAAATGTTGAAAGAGTGATAATAAAGGATTACTCAAACATGTGTGAATGAAACAAAACACAACTCCAGGTATGTTTTTGAGGCAGTAACAATATGACTTAAACATGGCTTAAAGCTCACAAGAACACATTTTGCATAATATAGAACCTTTAATATATAAAGACCCTTTAATGACCCAATGTCATAGGCAATTAAAAAATTAACTCAAAACTAAATGATTACAAAGAAATATCCAATTCACATTAAGACTACCACGTAATACAATTTTCCTCTGCTTTATTAAGCAGTCTAAGTTCCCCACACCTCTCCTATGAATAGAGGAACCTGAGGACTGTGGAGTCAGGCTGAGCTTGGGCAGAAGGTTGAGATGTAGCGGTTCGATATATTGTCTGGCTCACCTCCATGGACAGCGAGGGCTCAAGAATTCAGCTCTTTGACAGGGAAAGGACACTTTACTTCTCTGTCTGGTTTCAATGGTCCATCCATTGTTCAATCTTCTTCAGAACAACTCATACATGATTCTTTACTTTGTCCCTCGACACCAAAAAAGAATACATTGTCCCAAAAAGGACTTTTGTTGTAGCCTAATGTTGTAGGCCTAATGCAAGAGGACATGGACATTGGTTCCACCACATTGCCAAGAATTCCTGATGATTTATGTAAGCGTACCATCTGTTGTCACAGAATCCGTTGCACAAGGAGCCGTGAGTCAGACTGGCTCTGGACATCTCCTGTGTCACACTGCTGTGTGCTCAGATGGAGAAGAGTGGAGCTCAGATGAACGATGGATGAGGTGGTGTAGAGAAGGCTGCTGATCTGCTTACTCCCACTCTGAGTGACCTGAATACACCCCAGCATAAACGCACATGCAGCTGACAGCCATTCATTCACTGTGTGACAAGCCGGGCCCATGTCTAAATGGAGAGCACACTCCCCTAACCACAAGGCCTTCTCAGCTTTTACTGTTGGAGCTGCCGCTACATTTATCTTCCTGATTCAGACAATAAAAGCAGATACACATGCAGCTGATGTCACGCCTCATATTTAGCCCCGATTTAGCAACAATAAAAGGACACACCTTCCTGCGACACTTTGGCCCTCTTCACAAATCACCTTCAGCATGTTTGCTCTTAGGATGTGCAAGCCCTCTCTCATTAACCCGGAGGGCAACCTCAAGCTCCAATTGTGCCCCTATCTGCTGCAGCATTCTGGGTAAAGCAGTTTAACAATGTCAACCAGATAAGCCTAACGCAAACCTGCCGATAAGGAGTCAAAGACTGCACTTAATGTCTGTGTTTTCAAGGCGTTTACTGATTGAAGAGCCGACAGGGAGGATGTGAAGAGTGCAACGGTGAGTATAAGGCTCTGCTGTGTGTGTGGTCAGACAGGCCGGCGCGCCATTTCATATCTGTGCAATAACATGCTAAACTCCAAACACCGGGCAGAACAGCACAAAAAGAAAGCAAACACACATGGGACAAAGAGCTGGACTTAAACCACTTTCAGGCTATAGTCAAGGACCATTAGCACAGTTATTTAGAAGGAAAGGTGATTCAACTTTTCCTGTATTGACATGTACAGCTGTGGTGATAAGACTATGTAGGCTGTGAACATGAAAAAGCGGTAAGAAAAACTAAGGAGGGACTACAATAAAGGGCCCCAGATAACGAAGTTTATGAGGGATATTTAAGCCGAGGCTGTTCCACGCGGCACCCTGACAGTAATTTGAGGTCAAAGGTAAATAGTCAATCCAGCTTTTAATGTAGCAATGAGCCATGTGACAAAGACTCTGCCTACAGTCTGATAAAGAGGTGTGAATAATATCCTGCACAGGAAGTGTCAAATAAAAAGTGGTAGACGCCTCTGTCTTGGACTCCAGACCCAGGAGGAGCCTTACAGTGAGTAGATCTGTGATGGCATCCTCACATTCAGTACATGTAGATTGGGGCTGAAAGCCAATGCTTCGCTTTGTTCTCTAAATGGTGCTGTTCCGTTTTTATAATGGTGAATACCTGACCCACCTGTACAGCCCGAGGAGACTTCATCCTGCTCACAGTCTCTCAGATACTGTTTCCTCTCATTCTTCAGCTTCTATTGGCCACAGCTACAGTTTCAAATTGCTTCCTGCATGTTTCTCCTGTTTTTTGCCCTCTCATTCTTTTGGCCTTCCTTCTTGTGCCTAGCACAGACAAATGATGGCCATTGATGAACATCAGGCAGTGTTTAAAGTACTCACACCCATGAGAGAAAAATGGAAAGACGAGAGATTTATGTAAGATTTTTTTAATAAAGCAATAAAAAGCAAAGCAATAAAATTAAAGCAATAACTTTAAAATGAAAAGATAAATAATTATTCTCTTGTACAACAGGAAATGCAAAATATTTCCTACAGTATATAGTGTATTTTGGGTGATCTCAACCATACAAAGCAGGTTCCTATGGGTCTAAAACATTTTGCGCAATGATTTTGTCATGATGGATACAAATGAATCCAGTGTTTTATTAAAGAGTATACAGCCTTTGCAAAAATCAATTAAAGACCCATTAAAGTAACACGATAGAATTGAATTTCACATTAGTTTCCTCTTAAAGCTTTTGCTTTGCAGTGTAACAGCGACATTTTAGTTAAAACTCAGTCAAAATAAAAGGCATCAATGTTCTTCCCCTGTACATCCTTTGACATCCTGTGACTCTTGTCACAGGTTTGCATAAAGAAAATCACTCAAATAAGCAAACAAAAATATTTTTGGCAAAACAGGAATAAAAGTGACACAATTTGAGATTTGATCCTCATTATCCCCCTCCCTCCAACACTGTCCCATTGATTGGCGTTGATTGTCCTTCACACTCACGTGATCCATCCTGGTTGCCGTAGAGATCTCAAGTGCATCAGCTGGGCTGTCATGGCAACGGTGGATGGACACAAGCCGATGAGAGAATCTACTCCTTCCTCGGATTGCAAGATTCCCGGACTTAAATCTGATTGGATTTTGTCTGTTTTATTTTAATGCTGCGAAACGTAAACTCACTCAGGTACTTTGGTATGTTTCACTTTGAAGCCAGATATTTAAATATCTACATTCTAAAAACACTAACCATTACAGGTTTAGATTTCAATGGCAGATGATAGAAACTCAGTTTCTTTTACAGTAAGTGTAAAAAACAAAAAAGAAAAAAGCACATTCTGAATCGAAGAGTTAAATACATTTAGACACCCCAAACCATTTGTACATTAATGCCCAAAGCAGGGCACATATCGCAAAGTCTTTGCAATCAATTTCTAAGCTCACTTCCTGTTCAGTGCATCGAGAGTTCACACAGCACTCCTCCACTTTCTCTTCCACAAATATAAACAAAGGGACAAATATATAATATGTCATTTACAATGTTTGTACAACATACTGTACAAAAACACACTTAAGTACTCACACTGTCACGTACACTCAGTCACTCAATCCAAAAACATCCTACTACCTGTACATGTGTCTTTGCTCCTGAAGCAGGAGGCGACAGAGGTATTGACGTGTATGGCTTGACAATTGAAAACAACTAAAACAAAACAAATGACATATTATTACTGGACAGAATAAGTGTTAATTAGAGACATACCCTTGGTGTGTCCTGACGACTCACACACACACACACGCAAACACTCACTCTGTTTTTTTGGTCCTGTTGAAATCTCAAGTGGAGGACCATTCAGGCCACCTTAAGAACAGCAAGACCCTCCTTACGTCTCCCTCCCCCCCAGTCTTTGTAATCAGAAGGCCATGGAGGCCCTCCTCCTCTAGCATAGCTTGCTTACTCTGTCCAAAGTGCTCATGTCCTTGGTTCCTGTTCTATTGTTGCACTAATCTCGTCACAGTGACAAGATGTTCTTTATTTGAAACTCTTGGAGACTCTCCATGCAACAAACTGGCCTTGCCCACATGTAGCAAAGCGCAGAACCGTCCTCCCTCAGCACTGGACTCTGGTTTGTCCAATGGGGACAGTTCTTCACACTAGGGACTCCAATACAAACAATAAAGCTATTGTGCTTGCATCTCTGTCCTTCTGTGTGTCTTCAAAGATTTCTGGAAGATGATTTTTCCAAAGTCAAAATCTTGGCTTTCTGACAGACAGAGAGCTAGGACACAATGGGCACACCATCCACTCCCACAAGCTGCCCCGTGGTGGGCTCATAGGTCCCAGCCAGGTAGAACAAGTCGTTGGTGCCAGGTTTGCGGTCTCGTGTGAGGTGGTCATACTCTGCTCGGCTGACCACTTGACAGCGATGGGAAATGGTCTGCACATCATTTTCATCCTCATGGCTTGACTGGTACAAGGCATTCTGACAGAAACAGAGGAAATCTTTAACTAGAATGGCACAGTGTGCTATGTATCATACATTTCACTGAAAAATTGCAACTTTGTTTAGGAGTCCATCAACAGCAAAGCTATCTTAACAAGTTACATACAAAACATTCATACATTTGTTTTTGAAAGGGAGAGCAAACTTTACCTTGCCATCACGGTGTCTCTTCCCCAAGCGAGTTTCCTCTGGGTGGTAGAACCACTTGACCCTGACAACCATGCTGGAGCTCCAGGACTCCCAGAGGCTCTCCACACGGCCCACATAGGGCAGCTGGGGCCGACCAGGTGAGAGGAATACAGCACAGTCTCCCACACGTACCATCTCTTTGCCACGCACAATGGCCTTGTAGAAAAGCTTACGAGCTTTGCCCTTCAGTCCTCGCCTCTAAAACACCGAAGACAATAGGTTAAAGACTAGTGTTTCTGATTTGGTAGGTCCAAAACCCACTAAAAATACTAATGACACATACGCAAGATAACTTAACAACTTTGCAACATAAATGAAAACAATGCCTTGATTCCTATCCCTCACTGCAGAGCAGTAGCCTATAATGACCCCACTCCTGACAGAAAACTTACAAGAACACACCTGAGTAGGATTCCCAGACCACTTCCAGAGCTGGCGTCCTGGTAGAGCAGACCTGTTGGTGAGGGTCTCTGTAGAGGACATCATTTGCCTCTTGGCTGGGACAGGGTCCTTAGCTTTAGGCTGCTGGCTCTGGCTGTTAGCAGCTCCTTCTTTCCTCTTCTGGCCTTTGGAGCAGCCACTGTTGTTCAGTGCATTCCCTTTACCAATGTATTCTTTTCTGTCGTCTTTGCTCTCTGCTTGTGGCTTGGCCCCAGAGGTGATTGTGTTAGCTGTGGGGACAAAGCTGTGTACTGGAGTGCCCTTAGACGTGGTGGGGTCAGAAGTCAAACTCTGCCTCTGTTTCTGTTTGACTTGTTGGAGCAGAGCCCGGCGGAGCATCACAGATGATGACTCTTCATCAGAGGAATAGGAGGAGTCGTTGTCAGAGGAGCAGACTGAGGAAGAAGAGATGGAGCCAGAGGAAGAAGAGGATGACGATGACGAGGAGAAACAGGAGAGATGAGACTGGAAGCGTCCACTGCGACACTGTGTGGTCCCAGAGTCTCTCCGTGTGTCTGCTGCTCCACGCTCATCCTCATCTTCCTCATCCAGCTCTGAGTAGGAGCTGGGGCAGTCACTGGGGTACTCCAGACTGTAATCAGCGCTCAGGCCAGGAGAGCGGAGCTCCTCCCTGGGAGGGGAAGTGCCTTTGGGAATGTTTACATCAGCTCTGCCTTTCTTTCCTCCTTTGACCAGGAGACTAGGATGGATGTAACGCAGTGGTGCCCCAGCCCTAAGCCCACTGCTCCCAAGCCGAAGCAGGGCTTTGCTGTTTTTGGTCTTTGGAGAAGTCACACCTTCATGGTCAAGCTTAATAAGATACTGCTTCCTGTCACGCTCACTCACCAACTTCCTGTTGGCTGATCCGATCGCCATGGCGACAGCAGGAGAGCATGAGGGTTCTCTGAGCCCCATCATTGGTACAATGGCACCAGGTCTAGCAGCTCCAAATGTGGAGTAGCCATTAGCAATGCTTCTGAAAGAGTCCACTTCAAAGGGCAGCCCAAAGATTCCTTTCATGGGGGCAGAGTGTGAGAGAGGATGGGAGGCAGGCCGGTGAAACAAGGCCAGGTCGTGCTCTCTGATCTTCCGCTGGGTCTTACGGGACGTTCCGTTGAAGAGGAAGAAGTCCACTGGAGTTCTCTTCTTGGGCGCAGACCAGCTCAGTGGAGAAGTGTTCTTAATCCTGTGCTCTGCCATTGCTGCTGGTGCACTGAGAGACTCGGGCACTGAGTGCATTTTCTTGGGTCTGCCAACTGAAAGGATAGGAATGAAAAGTGTTAATTAGCAAAACACAAAGGCTAAAACAAAAGCACAAACAATACTTTAAAGTCCACAGTAAACCTAGCTAACCTGTCTGCCCTCGGGCGGATTTGTCACTCCAACCGCACAAAGTAATCTGACACTTCATAAGTCATGATTAATGTCTTAATAAAAGGATAAAGCATGTGCGGCACACAAAGACCTTTATTTATGACTCTTTGGAGCGTTTAGACACTGGAATCCTATATAGTGTGTGTGTGCTGTCGTGATGCATCTGATTATTGTTGACAGAAAGAAATATTAAAAACTGTAAATAAAGCTGTGGTAGTTGGAGCCTTAGGCTAGATGTGTGCATGTATTTACCGGTTAGACTGGTATTTCTCTGAATAGACTTCTCACTGTTCACAAATGATAACTTCCACTACTCCCTAGTCTTACCAAAGGAAATGAAAATGTCTTTTGTATTTGCACACCTGGTCTTTTCTCCTGCAGCCTGACCGGCTCCTCACTGCTGGCTTTTCTCTCCTGAGAAACTTGTCGACCTCTGCGACCTGGGGACATTAGAAGTGCTGGAGGAGGGTCAGTACCTGAAATCAAAAAGGAAAACTAAATGATTGTCTAAAACTTTGTATTTCATATTTAACTGTTGGTGCATGTTTCTCTACAGCCATACGCACAGCGTATTTGGTATCCTGGAGGCAGGAGTCTGATGTTGGCCAGAGAAATCCTTCCTCTATCACCATCATCAAACTCCACCATCACACTGCCCTCCTTCTCGTCCTCTCCTGGGCCTCCTGAAATGTCAGGAATGAGGCTGAGTAATGCTTAAAGTGAGCGCTCAGAGGCTTTAGTGTGTTAAAGCTACCTCTCTGGACATAGCCGGGGTAAAGGCATCGGGAGCGCTCACTCCAGTAGGCACATACCCGTGTCCCCCCGCACAGAATCGCCTCAGTCTGAGGACGCACGTCCAGCACCTATAGCATATTAGAGTTATTATGCATGACCTAATGTTTCTATTTAAACAACATTCAATACTCACTGCCTCCTGCAGGAGCTGCTCTAGTGAATAAATCCTGGGTCTGTTCCCCCTTTCTCCTTCAATGACAACACTGAATCTGAGAAAGACAGGTAAACAAATGTTAATTCAATCATTTGTACTTTCCAAACAATAACGTGGCTCAATTATCGCTGCTATAAATCTAAGGCTTGTGAGAAATATAACAATAACAACTTTTGTTAGTGGCAGCTGTGCTGGCTGTCAGAACTGTGCGAGTTGGCTTTACACTCGCAGAGACGTCTTGTTTGTCAGGATTGTCACAACTGCCAGGAATTAAACTAGCACTTACCACAGGCTTCATTCTTTTAGTAAATCACTCATTTCTTTAACACTTGTCCCAGCTCCTGAATTTAAAAGCTCTAAGATGGTGATGCACTTCATTGGTATTGAAGCTGATCTTCTAAGTAGTTTTTGTAAGGTGCAGGGTTATAAAGCAACAGTGGGGTACTGTAGTCTTACATGTCAGGTAGTTCCAGAGTGTGGACCGAAGCTGCATAGAGGAGCTCATCCTCCTTGGAAATAAGAATCTTCAAACCGTCCACCAACATTTCTTTACTCAAAACACAATTGGGCAGAGCTGTGGGGGGAGGGGAGAAAAAAAAGATGAACGACTGGCAGGCAAGATATTGGGCATTCATGGGTGTCATGTACAGTACATGTTGTTCTAAATATGATTGAATGGTTCAGGAGTGAGTTGAAAAGGTTACTGTGCATGTATTCAAAGAAGCTTGCTTATGTTGCCGCTGTGTAATTAAACAGAGTTGTGTCATTGGTCAAGCCTACCAGGTATCCTGCGAGGCATGTTGGGAGGAAGGTGCAGTGGTTTCTGCTTATCTTCATCTTCATCATCATCACCTTCAGAAAAACTGCTCTCTTCATCCAAGTGAAAGCCGTCATCACTGGTAAAGCTCTGAAGCAACCGACTGACTGCATGACCTTTGACCTGGACAGAAACAGAAAGTAATATCAACTGACAGAAAGCAGGATGCTGCACAGTTGTGTATTTAGTACCATTAACCACAGTCAGTGATATCATGAATAATATGTGAGAGGTTAGAATTTCTAATTGACTTCATTACTTAAAATCAAAATAGAGCAGCTCCATGTATGTGCAGGACTGGTGGACACTATATATTGGCCCCTTATCTGAAAACTTTGGACATACACACTTCTCCAGACCGGTTTAGGCTGGTATATGTGAAAATGATGGATGACTGTTGATGGAGCCAGCTCACATAACAGGTTTGTGCTTGCATTTGGCTTTCCAAGGAACACTGTCAGATTTGATGCTGTGTCTCTGGAAGTTTTCCACACCAGGAGACCATATATTTCAGTGACAGAAGTTCAGTCACTGTAGGGCATAGGTGATTATTTCCTTTATTGCTGATGGTGGTGTGTGCGTCACAAAGCATGTGCGTGTGGAGAGTTATGGCCAATGATGTCTTTATGGAGCTGCGTTTGGTTTAGAGTTATGTGTTTTTGGACATTCTCTTGAACAGACTTAAAACAGAAATGACCTCAGGGCGTTTGTCATTAAAATTAATATGGGTGTCTCACCAACGACTGAAAAACAAAACTGTGAAAACACTGGACCAGTGCTGTGTTAGGACAACCCGAAAACATGTGAACATGCACCAGTGCACCTGATGTACCTAATCTGGAATTAATTTTTATCCTACCTATTCCATGATGTTTGAAATCATTCATAGCTGGGTTTGGCCCACTTCAATTACTTTAAAACCCAAATGATTTGAATCACCCCTTTTCCCAGCTACAGTATTTATTTGTAATGCTCACCTTTCCAATAATGCTGTGTGCTGCTGTTTCCTTGCTGGTTCGGCTGGCTTGTGGATCTCCAAAGCCAAAGCCTAGCAGTGGCCCGCAGCAGTCCGCCAGGGCCCTTTTCACGGGTCTCTGATAGTCCAGGAGTCTTCCGTCTGTGCTGCAAAAGTTTGTCTTTTGTCTTTTTGGATTGGACACTGTAGCACAATCTACACCTGCAAGAGTAACAACATAATCAGCCTACAAAAGTTTAATAATCTACTCAAAAAACTTCTTTTAAAATAATTTGTCATTAAGAAGACAGATTAAGTGAAAACTTGCCATGCTGATCTGGTCTCATCCTGGGCTTTTGGTTTGCTTGAAATTTGGAGGAAAGTGTTGAAAAAAATCTAGTTCCAGCAGCTTCATTAGAGGATGAGCTAATCTTAATATCTGCTACTCCATCTTCACTGTTGCAACTGCCGTGGTCATCCTCTGCTGAATTAAGACATTCATTTAATTGGTCAGAGCTTTAAATGATGAAAACAAATTCAGCTCTAAACAAATTACATTTTGATACTGACAGTGCTGTACGTTCTTATGTATGTTTTGTCCTTCTTTGTATGAAAAATATGAAATCCTGAGAAATCAAAGTGCGAGCCCCAGTGACAGGAGCACATGTAGAGCCAGGCGCATATGCAGCACTGCAGCCTGCGAACATCTCCACAGTTATTGGCAGCTGCGTGTCACTGACTGTGGGGGTCGTGCTGGTGTCGACACATCTCTGACACACTTGTCACTTACACTGCGTTCTCGTCAACACTTCCTCTCCCGCACACAAACAACACACTCTGCTTCTCAATGTCACCAACCCCTAAGATTCTCAGAGTTTTTCAGTCTTCAAATCTACTGACTGGGATGGCCACTTCCCACTTTTGCTGGGGCTAACATGGTTCCCTTCTCCTGGTGAGGGCATTTTCATAGGTTTGAATAGCCAAGGACAGGGGTGTGACATTCTTAGCAGAGCCAAAGTGAGCTCAGGTTACTGTGTTGAGCACTGGGTGGCTGTGCTGAATGCCTGTGGCAAGTCGTTAATGGTTTTAACGGTGTGACAGCCGAGCTGGAAAGTGAGGAAGCTCCCACTGATGACATCTCACTCTGTACTGTTTAATATGTGCACACACACATGGGCAAAGGGCCCAGTAACAACATTGGTTTTTACATGAGCTGTGATTCAGACGTCTGTCTGTGACCCATACTCACTGTGGTCTGAACTCTCACTGTCGCTCTTGCTTGTCCTACACTCTGGCTTCTCAGAGGCACGCTCATCCTTGTGCTGAGCCTTCTTTGGGTCACCTCCCATCAGCATCTTGGGTTTGCGCCCCCTTTTCCTCTTCATGGTCTGAAAGGCGGTCCAGTTCTGCTGTGGATCTGGACCAGTGAGCAGATGGTGAGCTTTATTTAGCTTTACTGGTTAATGTTGATGTTGTTTAGGAGCGTTGGTGCTTGGTCACTACCCACCTCTAGGACGCCGCGTTGTGGCTGTGGATGAGGAGGCTCCACGCTGAGCCTTGTGTTTGAGCTGGGTAACTCTCCTGGCCAGCCTGGAGTTCAGGGTGTTGGGCCGACCTCTATGCTTACAACGAGCCTTCATCTATTCAAGGGGAGTGGGACAGCTCATTATTGTTTCATTTGGTTCCACTAATTGAAACAATCAAGCAAAAACAACAGCAGGAAGTGGATGTAGGAGTACACTGATGAGGAACACAGAAGGATTACTGACCTGTGCAGCACTGAGGCTGCTAAAGCTGTGATTGGACATTTTCTTCTTGCCTTTTTGCTCCAGTAAACTCAGCCCAGGCCTGAAACAGAACACACTGAGATCAGAACTTAAGGAAGTCTGGTGCTGCTGGGTTCATTCATTGTCTCTGACATTTGCCATTCTTGTTGTCTCATAACCTTATCAGGTAAGAGTGTAAAAAGCTGGTGCCAACTGTCTGCTCAGTTTGACAGCAAACACAGAAATATTCAGCGACTGTGTGAATATGAAGCTGTGCTGAATCACCACATGAGAGGTTAAAGAGTACCTGGTGAGGGAGAGAGAGAGAAGGCAGAGGAGGAAGAGTTGGGAGGAGGGGCTGAGACAGAGATGAAGCAGTCTCAGGGGAGTCTGTCCGTTGACCGGAGCTTCAGGGCTCAATCGATAAACACTAACCTCTATTGAACACTACTCCTCCCTCCCTCTATCGCGCTCTCTTTCTCTGCCCTTGCTTCATTGTATGCGTGCTCACTCACTCTCACTGTACACACTGCACACACTGTTAGCAGCTGCTGTCTGAGCCAGGTGAATCCTATATTCCCACAGAGAGCGAGTTTGGCTCTCAGCATCTTCATTCTCCAGAGGAGATATACACAAAGCAAAGAAGATGCCATGTTTTCTCTGCTTTTCCTATCCAAATCAAGGCACTAAACTCCACAAGAAAACTCAAGTAACACTATGAACTATACTAATAACTGTAATGCTAATAAACTTAATTTTTAAACCAACCTAAGATTGTAAAGATAAAAGTCTGAGAAAAGGCACATTGCTCATTAGCAGCAGTAGAAATGCAGCTCTGGCACATAGCTCCAGCGTACTAATTAAACAAACTGCATGTGTGTGTGTGCGCTGCATCGGCATGTATGACTAAAGCCATTCATTGTCATTTTCATTAGCACTTTCTAATCAGGCTAACCGTGACAAACTTCAAGTTCTTTTAATCATTTTATCAAGGCAAAGGGTGAGCATGTTAGCAGAGGTGGGGCAGCATGAAAAAACACATTTATCTTTATGAGCCTGGAAGCCACACTGTAGATGGAAGTGTGGAGCGTATAATGTGTGAAGTAATGTGTTATTCTATGTGTGGATGAGTGGGAGTGGTGTGGAGTCGTTTATCACTGTGATAACTGTACATCGGGACTTTGTCCGCTTGCATTAATGTATGCTGCAGCTTTACGGAGAATCAGGACATAATCAATGCATGTGATAAATATGATTAAAAGTGATTAATGATGATTAATGAAGGCTTCATCTCCATTACCTTCTCTCATTTAAAATACCTCCCTCCCCCATAACTCTCTGCATGAATATGTGTGTGCGCCTTTGAGCAGCTCTTTTCAGAGCCCAATCAAGCAAATCATCAGCCATAGAGCATTTGAATCAATTCTGCTGAAGACGAACTTCTTGAAAATCAACTGTGCCTTTGACTAAAAACACAAACAGAAATCAGGATGAATGAGCGGGGCTTGCCAATCACACTGATTACACTGGTGCCATATCACAGGACTGACCGGAGTCTTTTGGAGCTCTCTGCTGCAGCAGCTGGCCCGGGGGTGGACTTGCGCTTGCGGGGGCGGCCGGGCCCCCGGCGAGCAGGGCTTCGAGACGTCTCTTCTTTCCTGCAGTGAACAGAGGAGGAGAATGGAGTGAGACAAAAGATCAAAGATGCAGTTAGAAATGAAGAGGAAACGTCTCTGGCTACAGGTCAGACTGGAATAACTGTGAGAAGGCAGTGGGTCTTAACAAATAAGAAAGATGCAGCATGATGGGTGAATTGTGAATGCTGTAATTCAAGTTTGAGGCCAGTTCAAAACAAATGTGTATGTGTCCTTACTGGTGGTCGTGTTTCCTCTGTAGCTTCGCCAATTCTCTCTGTTTCTCTTTGTAGCGGCGCTGTAGCTCAGCCAGCTGGACACGCATGGCCAGCTCCTCCCCTCCCATCAAGTCCATGGAGCCCTTCACTGGGCACACCTGAAACACACACGCACACACACAAACCAGAGTATTTAAATGCTGAACTCACTGGGATTGTGAAGTGGCCACGACATTTGAGCAGCTAATGATAATTTTCAATTGACTTTCAGTTTCTGCATTAGCTCATCTGTAGATTCATATGCAGCAGAAAGAAACATTTTCCCTTATTATTCTCTATGAGAAAAAAGATATTAATTGGGTGTCCAAAGTACATAACAGGATAGCTAGTGTTATCATTTAAAAGTACACTATGTAACTTTTCTGATGCAGGGCCCAGCACCTGCTCATCAACATGGAGATGCTATAGTACTAGCCTTTGCATGTCTGGTTTATCACTTCGGTTTGGTGGGTTCTAGCTCCGTTATCTCTGGTTTACACTGAACAGGACCTTCATACAGTGTTTGTCCGTAATTCAACATGTCCAACATGTTTTCACACGAATGATTTACTTTTGCAGGCATGACTAAAACCTTGATCTGTAAGGCAGGACTCACCGGCTCATGACGAGGTCTCCAACTGCACTTCCTGCGCAGGTTTAGCCTCTTCCTGATTGGACTCTCAGGGTCCGCCCCCTGAGGTGCCGTGTCTCCTGCCATCTCTAGGGCGCGAGCAGCCGCCAGTGTCGCCAGACTGTGCAGGTCAAAGGTCAGCATGTCCTCGCCTGCAAACAGATGAGGTGTTTGGGTGTTGATTGGTACATCTCAAAGCAGCTGACTCAGTGTTACAGAATAACAGTGATGTGGTTGCAGTGGTGTGTAAGGAGATTTATTTCCAGAACAATGCAAACAGCATGATATTTATGACATTAGCTGTGTAGTTGATATGATGTATACTGCTGTTATTTCTGAGAGTACACACAAACAGCACAAGAGCAGAGGAGTAGGCGTGCACAAAAACAATCTCTACATCTGTCACTTTCATTAAGTCTGTCATTGTCAGAGCAGAATATTCATGAGGCACACCTATGCTGATAAAAGACACATGCACCTAGAGCGCTTTTCGCTGCGCTGCGCAGACGTGGGCCCCAGACTTGAGGAGGGGAAGAGGGAGGGGCTGGGGAGGAAAGGGGAGGAGAAGCAATAAGAGGCAAAGTGTTTATTGAGCTATCTATTTATTCTCCTACATCTCCTCATTATGGACATGGACAGAATCCAATTTTGCCTTTGAGGAAAGCGAGAAGAGCATGATAGTGTGCGCTGGAGTTGTGGGCCTCTCCTGACGTCTGACATTATTAAAAGCGCTGTGTGTGAGCATGTGCATGAGCAGAAGACACTCAGCACAATATGGGGGTGTGAGGCTGAGAAGTGTGAATGAAAAGGTGAGTGACGACAAGACGACAGGTGACTCCTCAGAGGAGGGGGACCGGCCGTGTCCTGTCCCAGCACACAGAGGTCACCATCCTTCTCATCTGTCACATGGTCTGAGCCAATGGCGCACTCCTGTTACACTGACAGCATGACATCACCGCTGACATCACCGCGCCCAGTTTAATGTCCGGGAGGATAGTCACAATCGATAGCAGCCTTCCGCCCGCAGTATCCCACACACAATCGGCTCAGCTTGGGTAATAGCTGTGCTGTGTGTCTCAAAAGGGGGTAATAAGAGGCAGCGCATGGGAGTGAAAGGAGGATAAAAAGCAGAGTAAAATTAAAAACCATTACAGTTGTTATGGGCAGTGCTATCATTATTGGCCATTAAGAAAATTTAATAAGCTACTTTTTCAATATAAAGCCTGTGTAGGAACAAGAAAATAAACAATAAGAGAAATAACTGTGGAAATAGGCGCAATGGTGCTAATTTACACAGAGGAGAAGGCATCTCTTGATTCCTTAATCTGTAATTGCAATCTTCAGTAAACAGCTGAGATATCCTTCTGCGTCACAGAGCGGCATAACTGCATCTGTCTGGGATCGGTTTCATCTCTCCAACACATTCCCAATGACAAAAAATGCCATCAGCAGTATTAATATCATTCCTCCATGCCCAGGCCGGAGACGGGTTTTAAATAAATGTGTTGCAATTTAGAGAACGATTCCCACACCATGACAGGACTTATTGATTTCACACCTATTACACATGCTAAGCACGTGCACGCACATGTAAACAAATGCACTGCCGCACACGCCCGCATCTCGCACATACATGTACTGACAGCTGCACAGGGACTTATGATTTTTACACTTATTAATTCCGTCAACAAGGCTTGCAGAGGCAGGATTTACACACAAGATTACATTGGTTTAATAAAAAAAAAAGGCGCGGATGAGAGGGGAAACGTAACAAGAGGAAGGAGGAGGAGAGAGAAGCGGGAGGAGGTAGAGACACAACGGAGAGGCGCGATTCAGCTGGGATTACTTAACAGCTTACACACACACACACAGGCATAAATAAAAACACTTTCTCTCAGAGGGACATGAGGAAAATAGGAGCGCTTACAGAAGAAGTGTTTTAAGGATAGGGTCTAATTAGCAAAGCAAGACGCCAGAGCCTGCGGGACTGGCTGGCCCGGCAGTGTCCTGGCTTCATTCTGGAGCTCGGCTTGATTGACCATCTTTGTGTCACCTCCTTAAAAGCACATGTACACACTTATACTAAGTCAGCGAGGGAAAAAATCAGCTACAACAGAACTAAGCGCCAAAGAAGTAAATGGAACAGGTTGAACCACCACATCGGTCTTTCACACAGCTTCAGATCTGATGGCCTGGTGTGTTTCTGAGTGGGGCTTTTTCATCTTTTCTAAATTGATCAAAAGTTAATACTTTAGACAGACCCATACCTCCCTTCTCCTTGTTCTGTCTGTTCCTCTTCTCGAGCTCCAGCTCAGCCAGCTCTCCCAGGATCTCCATCCCATGGTGTGGCAGTGGGCTGGGGGGCAGGAGCGTAGGTGTTGGTGGGTACAGGGCATCTCTGGTGGCACACAGAGCAGCAGCGATTAGCAGCTCCAGGCTCCACATGTATGCTCCTTGTAGCTGGGCTGAAAAGGGAGGGCTGGGGGAGCAGGGAGGGGTGTAGGACACCTCCATGGAGCTGCTTTTCACACAGGCCTCCTCTCCCTCATCCACCCCCAGTGCAGGCTTTTGTCCTGGTTTTTCCTGTGTGTCCTCTCTGAGGTCTTCAGGCACAGAAGCATTCCATTCATGTTCAGGCTCTCTCTTCTCTCCCTCCTCACTGCCCTGCTTTTCATGTCCTCCACCATCCGTCTGCTCTTTGGATAGAGGCAGCTCCTCCAAGGCAGCCCTCTGGCCTGGGCAGCCCTGAGACTGCTCCACTTGTAGGACATTGCCCATGGCTGTGGCCAGGACTGGAGCAGGGCTCTGTAAGATGGGGCATGCTTTTTCCTCCCTCTGCTCAATCTCGTCATTTGCACTGTCGCTTTGAGGAGTCATAGCTTCAGCATTGTACCTGGTCCTCTCCTGGTCCTCCACCACAGTGCAGCATGAGTGTGGGTAGGATTTAGACTCAGAGTCGATGAGCTCTGCTTCAGTCATGACATTTTCAGCAGGTTGGGCTTCATGTGGCAAAGCTCCAGCTTTGAAACCCATTGTGATTGGAGGGAAGGTGTATACAGGTGGTAAGTCTGGAAGAAAAGAGAAATTAAACGTGGACTTTTTTTTTTATTAATTTGTAAAAATGTATATTTAAAAATGTATAAATAAATTGTGTTAAAAGCACAAGTTCATTGTTTTGAAATCATTGCTATTCTGTTCACAAGGACGGAGCATGTGATTACAGTGGGCATAATAGAGTGGCAGCAGGGAGTGTGAATGCAGTGCAGTGTGTGGCTGTTTTGGGCCTTTTTCGGGATGTGTGTATAGATCCATGTGGGATATTGATGACACCCTGCAGTTTCCCTGTGATTGCAGTGCGGGGCCTGTCACCCCCATGTTCTTATTATTGATGGTATTCCTCCGCCCTCTGACAACGCAGCCAGATAAATGTGTATTCTTCCGCTTGTGCTTCTCAAGGACCTGTGAAGGAGAAGAAGGGCCTGTCTGCCGATGCTGCTGACCTTCCAGCACGACACTCAGCAATGCGCACATCTAGGGGTCGCAGTGTGCACTTACAAACAGAGTGCCCATATGCTTTCTCTGACTCTAATGGCCGACCTGCCTTTTTAGATTTCACTGGGAAAATTGCACACATATTCAAGGGTAGGCAGTGCAAGGGGCTCGTGCTTCAAACTATTTTACCTAAATTAAAAAGGGGGTGGATGCCCATCAGAAGTCATTGTTCACCATCGACCTGCTTTTCCATTTTTCCTCTATCACCCTACACAGTATCCAATTTGTTCATTTTAATAATGAGAGGAAGAGTCGTTACCTGGCTCTAGTGAGGGTGGGTAGTCCTGAGGAGGCTGCCCTTCTCCACGGTCACTGCTGCGCTCCAGACCCTTGGGCAGATGGGATGGACCGGGGCTCAGGGCAGGAGACCGAGGAGCTGCAGCGGCTGGGCTGGGGGCAGGCGTCAGGGGGTTTGGGGCAAGAGGTCGTCTGGACGGGGACTGGTAGCAGCTTGACTGGTGGCTGTTGGGAAATACTGAGGGGGAGGTTGTTGTGGTCTTCAGAGGAGGAGGGGTGTGAGAGAAAGGTTTGGTAACGACTGCTGATGAGGAAGACAGAGAAGGAGTTCTGGACACTGGTAAGTCATGTGGAGAATCCTCTATTGTGATACAGTGCTCCTCATTCTTCCTCTGTGAAAAAGTAGTTAAATTTTTTAAATAATTCATTTTTTTTTTCTTTTTCATGCAAATCATATTGGCTACCCTGTTTGCTCTTTCTCCAAGCTTTAGGGAAATTAGGAAGTTGCCATGTTTAAATGCAGGTGTACCTGTGCTTGAGAGTGGCGCTGCATGTGTTCCACAGCACGTTGCTGCTGCAGTGCATATAGCTCTTGTTGTCGTAGAAATGAAGATCGCGTGTACATCGGGTGGTGCTGAAGATGAGGCGGAGGGCCTCGGCTGCCATACACCGACCACAGACCAGACTGCTCAAGCACATCTACAGGTATAGAGAAAACGGGTAAAATATGTTCATGTTTCGAAACAAACACAAGCTTGACCAATAGGTCACACATACACATTTTGATTATAAAAACAATGTAGTGTAGAATCATAATCACTAGATGCATACTAGCACACATATTCACAGTTTCCGTCTTGGCTGCCTTGTCGCTGGGAACCTTTGTTCTGTAAGATTAGCCTGAGTGGGCTAATGTTTCCCAGGGGAAGGGTTCAGTGGATGCACTTCCCCTCACTGTAGGAACTCCCATGGAGGGAGGCAAGGGAGGCTGAAGATAATTAAATTTCACAGCCTGTTTGCAAAGCAGTGTTGGCAGACACATGCACATCAACCCGATCAAGCAGAAGCAGCAACATATTCTCTACAACCTTTAAACTAACTCAGTGTCATTTAATCCAGACACAAATGCCTCCAAACTGCTGCCCATCACAGTCAGTCAGTCAGTCTCAGCAATGAAAGAAGGACTTACCAAGGGGGTGATGAGCTCCTGGTTCTGTGGGCAAAACCACCAGTGGTGCACTGGGGTCCATGATGGGTGCCAGGGGGCTGGGCAAACCTGGAGGGAAACTACTGCTCATTCCCACATGGTTCAAACCTGGAACACACACATATACATTATACATATATATATGTATATATGTATGTATAGATAGATAGATAGATAGATAGATAGATGGATAGATATAGATATAGATAGATAGATAGAGATAGATAGATATAGATATAGATAGATAGATAGATAGATAGAGATATAGATATTCATTTAGTATAAGGTACAAAATTACAAAACTCTTAATTTGAAGTTTGAATTTGAAGTAGGTAAATGTTTTAAAGAACACACCGTAAGAATGGCTCATCCAAAGGGAAGGACTCCCTGTCCTCTGCATCCAGTGATGATGAGCATGTGCAGATGGGTCAGCTCCTCCCAGAAGGTGAGAGGTCAGGTCACTGTGGCAACTACTGGAAGGATGGATGCGGGCAAACTCGACTCGCTCCTTGTTTTCCCTGTTGTGGCAGTAGGCGGGGAAAACTTTGTCATTATCCTGATTATGGGCCTTATTGTCATCATCATCATCATCACCATCATTACAATCATTATCTTCATCCTTGTCATCTTCATTACCACTACTACCATTATAATCATCAAGAAAAGGAAATACGACTGCAACAGTGGCAGTCATCATCTTGTGCCTGCTCCATGAGTTCTCATTATATGTTTTCTTCCCTTAATATGACTACATAATAAGAGGCTGATACTTCAGAGACATCAGTATTAGTCCCAGTAATGTTAATGCACCACATCTGATCTCTGAAAGAGAGAGGGATGAAGAGGGGGAACAGAAACACCACATCAAAGAGTGAAAAGAGTAAATGAGTGAGGAGAAGAGAGGCCTGTGTGGGGGAGAATAAAAGAGTGTGCAGCTTTTCAGATGAGAGACGATGCTCTGCTTGTGTCCATCATCTGACACATATTGTACGTGTTTATTAGCACCTGAGGAGCAGCTCTCTGTCTCTGTCCAGTTGATGAAGACTCATCTGTTCCTCAACCAGTCTCTTCCTCTCATCTAGGTCTCGGCCCAATGGATAGACAGGGCGGGATACCCCTAAATTAAAATACATATAATACTTTTAAATACACAAAACTAATATAGTAAACTCTCCATATTAGAAGTATTAAAAAAAACATGGACTGAAGGCTAATTAAGTTTCAGAGCAAGCAGCTGAAATGATGTCTGACCTTTCATGCTGGGCAGCACCCGGCCCTGTCTGCTGTGTCCAGGGGCACTGTCTGAGGAGCGATGGGGGGGTCTGGTCACAGCAACAGCAATACCAACCGGAGGCTGGCGTACCTCCCCCTCCACAGTGTCCCCCGCCTCTTTCCCACCTCGGTCAGCCCGCTCTCCCTCATTAACAGAGCCACGGCGAGGGGGCAGCATCTGTTTCAGTGATTCTGATGGAGAACTGGTGCCCTTACTTCCACGCTCCCCCTTTTCTAATCTGTCTACACCCTGCTTGATACAACCAAGCCCCCCAAAAGGGCTTCTTTGAGGCAGCAGCAAAGGCTGCTGGGAACTGTAGTTCATAAGAGTTTTAATTGCACTCCCTTCACTCTCATTGGTGTGTGATGAGGAATGGGATAGTGGAGCGTGGGGTTTGGGATCTACACTAGGGGCTCGGTTGTTGTGCTCTCTTCCTTCAGGGCTGTTGGTTGAAGTGTGATGGGGGCCTTTTCGCAGTTCCTCTTGGTGGCCCCCTTCTGGCCCCCAGGAGAGTCCTGTTTGACCCTCATCCTTTCCCCTCTCATCTGAGCTGCTGTGCTGCTGGTGCCGTATCCTAGCAACCTTTTGTCCTTGCCTCTGCACCGCTGGTCCAGAGATCGACCTCCCATTAGGCTGAGGACCTGAGAGAGAACAGTCCCTCAAGGGAGAAGTGCTGTCTATACTAAGCTCAGTTCCAGAGTGACATCCCTGGGACTCTGTGGGCAGTGATGGTCGGTAAGCATCGCCTAGCACCTCTACTTCCTTACAGGATGAAGAAGACCCCAGGCTGCAGGACTGAGGGTCCAGCTGACAGTACTGGCTGGGGCCATGTCTGTGGAAGGGCTGCTGATTCCAGTCATGAACTTTGTCATCCTTGCTGTGGTCCAGCTGCTGCTGGGGTTTGTCCTTCTTCTGACAACTACTAAGTTGGAGGTAAGTAGAACTTTCATACAGTCTCTCTCCACTTTTGTCCTCTCCCTTTCGTGTACCACCACCGACTCCATGACAGTCAGGCACTGATAAATCTCCAAGAGGAACATAAGTAGAACCAGAGACTTTGGCTTCTCTGCTTGACCCTCCTGAGACTGGTGTTGGATCTTTGGAGGGCACCAAGGAAAGGGGTGCAGGTGGACAGTAAAAATCCGGGTGGGGATGATGGGAGTGATGTAGCCAACCTCCAGTCATGGTGGAGTTGATATGTAAGGTGTGAGGTGGAGGGGGCATGGGGTAAGACGACATTGAGTGGGAGGGTGGAGGAGCCAGGATGGCTGCTACAGCTCCTTTTCTCCTACATTCAGAAGAGGACTCACTGATCCTCATCTCACTACACACTGGTTCATCTTTGGAAGAGCGCCTGTTTCCTCCAGATGGAGGTCCACTAGTCCCACCACAGCTACTTAGAACACGCCCCTTTCCTGCCACAAGGCTGGTTTCTTCCGCCAAACAGACAGCAGACAGTTTACAGGCATTCATATGTTTGAGTCCCTGATTTGCAGCATCGCTGTCTCTGTAGTCTGTGTGGCGCTCGTCGTCTCGGCTGTGTGAGGCAAGGTGTGGGGCTAGGTGTGAGGGCGGGGCTGGGTGGGAGGGGTATGGCTGATGGTGGGAGGATGAGGTGCTTGTGGGCACAGACTGATGGTGCTTGTCCTTGGTGTCTGGGTGCTGCTCTTTGCTGGACGATCGCTCCTTAGACCCAGATGAAACTGCTTTATCAGCCATGTCCTTGGAGCTCTTCTGCAGCCCGCCACCTCCACTGTCTGTCTCCCGGCTGCACGAGCCCAGTGGGTGTCCTGGGGCAGCTCTGGATGGAGGCGGTAGGCTGTGATTGGCTGAAAGCAGAGGGGGTTGTGGTGGAAGGCTTCTCAAGTAGAAATGATCTGAAAGTGAAAAAGAAACAAATAATGTCCTTAGCAGTTTGTGATAATTGTACATAAAATTGAAAGTAACAATACGCTTGAGAGCAGCAGATAAAATTTAAAAAGAAATACATGTCTCTCAGATGAAGCCATTTCTTAGATTTCATTAATAATGCATAATGTAAATTTACAAATGTGTCATTTTAATTATTATTTTTGCCAGTTTTTCTCTCCATTACAGCAGCACCTACCTTTTTGAGTTTCATAGAAGCGGTGCTGTCCATAGAGACTGTTGCTATGGTGATCAAGAGGACTCATGGGGAGAAAAGGAGAAGCCAGACTTCCTGAATAGCTGGGGTACCCTGTCAGAGGGAGGCAGGAAGAAAAAGAATTGATGTTTCTGTACAGTGTTGACATTCAGCAGCTCTAAACAAACAGCTTTTCCCAACAGTTTATCATAAAATGGGCAAAGTTTGAAAAAAAAAAAAAACAAGGCCAGTGACTGCAACTTTTACAATAACTTCACATTTACACACATGAGTTGACATTATTTACAGTGGCCAAAGCAGTGACAAAAACCACAGTAGAAAACCACTGCCAAGTGTTTGCAGCATTTAGCAGCATGGAATTTGAGCTTTTGAGCAAAACACCCATTTCCCAAACCCAAGACAAAATAGCAAGCACTATCAGAGCACCCCCAGCTCTCCCAGGAGGTCATGGGGAGGTAATGGTCGTTCCACTCTGTTCCTTGCCTTCAAGGACGTTGAACTGCATTGTGGGATAAAGGAGATGCTGTCGGTTGTGCTAAGAAAGACATGGAGCTGACAAAGTAGAGAGGGGGATTCTTTGATGGAAAACATCCCAAATGACCACAAACCTGTGCACATGTAGAAAATAGGGTTTAACACATGTCTTTCTTTAAAGCTAAAGATTGGATGTGTTTGTGTGTGTTCCTCAGCAGCTGGTTTCATGCCCCACAGAGTGTCCTTGCCGGCCCGTTAATTGGCAGCCGTTAAAAGTTTAACGGTGGTGGCCAAAGTAAACAGTACTCCATAAAAACTCATCCTACGCATTCCACAGTCGCACTGCAAAATAACCCACACCCCCTCGGCGTTCACTGTGTGTGAGAGTGTGCGCAAGGAGGGGGTGTTGGAGGCCCTGTGCTCATGCGGCAATGCAAATGTACGGATGTGTACAATCAAGAGTGTGCGTGTCATTACTCTGACTGGTTAACAACCAGTGAATCTAAATGGCGACAATTAGCCAAAAGGGTCTATCAGCCATCTAAAGCCAATCCCCCGGGTAATGATGAGTGATAAAGCTCAGGGGCGGAGGGGGGGTGGGGGGCTGTGACGTGCAGAACAAAGACAACAGAGGGACTTCAGAGAGAAAAAAAAGTAGGAGGGAAGAAATCTGAAAACAAGAGGTTAGCTGGTGAATAAATGAATGAAAGACAGAAACACACAAGACGCCAGAAGAACAGGGCTGTCAATTTGAAAAGCTTCCAATCTGGTGCGATGGAGCGGCTTATGGAGAGGAGACGGGGGGAGTGAGAGGACTTGCTGAAGATGGAGGAGGAGGTGGGAAGGAAGTGGGATACTCAAAGTAGTGGAGCCAGGACAGTGTGGACACAGACCAGGACAGGTGGAGCAGCAACAGTGCCGGCTCTGAACGGACACTTCTCCTTCTGTGTGTGTGTGTGCTGTGCGTGTGCAGCCAGGTCTCTTCCCTGCACTGGCTCCGCTCCACTCTCTGGACCAAAGCCAGCTGGCAAGCCGCCTCCTGGAGCTCCCTGGCTTGAATTCTTAAAAACAATCATTTGTAGTGTGTGTGTGCGTTCAGACTTCAAAAGATGAGACACGCAGGTCTGCCTGATAGACGCACACAGCCTCGCTCTCTTTTCAAAGTCACTGCTGCTGCTCCCGTGCTCACTGCAGTCCTGCCTCCAAGTCCCCATGAATCTGATATAAGTTAGTCACTGTGAAGGACATTACCACTCATTTTCATGGCTAAAATGGTGGTATTTATTGCTTGATGAACTACAAACGAGGCAGTTGTACAAACAGAAAGTATTGTCTCCTTTCAAGTCATTTTAGGAAAATTTCAATGTAAAGACTGTTCATCTTAAGAGCTATGATTGCCAATTTAGAACCCAATGAATTTGTGTTTCTTAGTAAGAATGATTCAGCACAGCCAAGGTTTAATTCTGGTTTGTTCTCAACAAACATAAAAACCTGAGAGAAATTAAAGTTTTAAGAGAAAAAAACAAAACAAAAGTAAAACTGGACTTCTTATCTATACATTTCCTCAAACAGACAAGCAAATCCTCATTCACAGCATTCGGTTCCACCTTAAGTTGAATTAAACAAAACACATTGCTTGTTGTCAAACCTTTGAGGAGGTTTTGTACAGTTTGTAGTTATGTGAAAACAACAACATTGAGAATTGTGCAGAAGCAGTGTTGTACTGACTATCATTACTATTTCTTAGTTAGGTCATTCTTTTGATGAGTGCTCTTTTCACATTTATCACACTTTATCACCAGAACATTCAAGTGCCTGAAACTTCTTTTTAACATTACTTTTAATGTAATTATGGTAATGTATATCCATATCTCATACCATGTTATATGGTTTATTTATATTCTTGATTTTATACTAAAGGTGAAAAATGTTGTTATGGGAGGCCACAATAGTCTCCTGTATTAATGAAAAACACCAAATGCGCATGGAAGTTGTTTTGGAGGTTATCTGTCAAAAGAGAAGTCCTCTCACCTGACACAGACAGATAAATGAGAGCTGCTCTGTCCATAACCACAAACGGTTAACAGTCAAAAAGAGCACATGATGCGTGTGGATGCGCACAGTGGAGTGAGGCAGAGTGTGTCTGATCAGGAAGGGATCCGTTGGAGGTCGGTTAGCCCAGAAGGGGCCCTGAGGGTGGGGCTGCGGTCGGGGTGGGGGTGAGCGGCACACTGGAAATGGGGCTAGATTTCATGTGTGTGTCCAGGGGGTGCACATGGGCTCATGAAACTCAAAACTTGGCCTGAGAGGAGAATGTTAAGAGATGACAGACACAAGACAGAAGAGAAGACGGGCAGCAGCAGGAATCTTGATGAGTGGAGGACATGGGTTTGTTTACAGCTATTTCAAATGTGGTGTGCTGCTTGATAAGTTACAGAAGTTGTGTGTGTCTGCAGCATCATCACTGTCATTGTTCTGTGTTTGGCCACAGCTAAGCAATGGTTAAACCATTTAATGGCTCCATCTTGATCTAATCCTATGCCAAGACCTTGGATTAACCATAGACCCTAGCACTCCAGGCTGCACCTTCACTTACCTTCATGTGAATGGGGGAACCAGATCGAGGAGGCGCCCGAGTGGGCTCCAGCCCGATACGAGGGGGAGGAAGGGGAAGCAGCCGGTCCCGTGGGGTGAGAGGGGTGAGGGGGAGGCGAGCCAAGACTACTGGCCAGGAAGGAACCCATGAAGGAAGCACCTAAGAGACACAGACAGGACGTTACTGAACTTTTTACCATTTTTACCTTTTTACCAAACATTTTGACATTTGACAACATGTATCCTTAAACAAATGTAATTAGTTATAATTATCAAGCCAACAAAACCAATCCCATTACACCAACATAGGTGATGATAGCATTATTAACTGTTTTTCTATGAAGATCACTACTACAATACCACTCAACATATGCATGGCATTCAACCTAGCCTTTTTACTAGCAGATATTTGTAAGTGTCAGATTTTAACAGTGAAAATGTCAAACATGAAAATTGCATTACATGATCTGCCCAAGAGAAATTAATCCCTGTCCCGTAAGTCTTCAGCTCACACGACACACACATCAGATATAACTTCCAAACTTCAATATGACAGTTTTCCTAATTTGAAGAATTTATTGTTTTAGTGCACACCAGGTTCTAGTTTCTTGCCTGCATTATGAACAGTAAAAGGTGCAGGTAGAAGTGAAACTGAGCTATAGTTTCTGATCCTGTAACACTTTGGCTCAGTTCGAATGAATCCCCACTTATCGGCACACTCTCATTTAGTGGAACAAGCCGAACAGTTGTAGGGGAAGAGGAACAAATCCTGGGGGGAATCAGGTAATTAGTCACTGGATGAAAGAATAGAGCATGTGAGAGAGGGAGAGAGAGAAAAAGAGAGGGGGGGATTGCTTGCTTCAGACACAATTACCACAACCACAACAGTTTGGTTCTGAGTCACACACGCGCCCATGAGGAGAGTTCACTCACCTCCGGCACCCACCCACAGCCATGGCAGCCACAATCTCCAACCAACTGTTAAAAGCGGATACGTACGATGCACAGTGGATGAAGGAGCACAAGGGATAAATCAAGAGCAAAGCAGAGCATCCCAAGACAGAAGCATGTATTTGTACAGCTGGATTTGAAACTCGGAAGACACGCAGACGCACACATGTTAAAAGGCCCGAATTCCTCCATGTTTAGCTTTTGATATTTTCACTGTCTGCAGTCATAATAAGACTCGAGGAAGGAAAAGGGGGCTTGGCCAAAAAACGTTTGAGTCAAGACATTTATTTCCTGTTGCTGAATCTGTTTTCTGTGGTTCTAAATCCTGGCTGGTAGCAGTCATAATAAAACAGAGCTCACATTAGACTATGGGCTGTTTTGACGTGGGCCTCTGCCAAAGCAACAGTCTACTTTGTCTATGCAAAGAGAAGGAAGTGCTCCAAATTTGAACTCAAGGAAAGTAGGCTACTATCAGTTCACAGTAACATATTAGAACAAGTTCTACTTGTAATATGTAATAATAATATAAGATTTAAAATATACAGCTGAAAAGAGCCTAGTTTCTTTGCATCTGCTCAACAGACAATAGAACCATGTGTTAGTTGCCCATGCTTTGTTGATAATGAATGACATGCCTCAATATCCCTTAGTTTAGTTATATTGGAGACAATTTATCAATTTTCTTCACTTGGTCTTTCAATCATTTCACCTCTTTGCCTCCACTGTCCTACTTTGTTTTTCATTTCCAGATTTCTGTTGATTTACCTCTTTTCCTATAACCTCTCCTCCATCCCATCTTTTGTCTGTTTTTTTTTGTTTGCGAGTTGAGGAGAAAATCTTATTTGCGCTCCCTCTGCTCTGTTGATATGGAAAATCAGAAAGGCCACCCTTTAACATAAACCTCATTTCTGTCGTTTCTTCCTCCCTCTTTCCTGCTCTGCGTTTCCACCTTTGTTTCATCCTTTTCCGCACATTCCCTTTCCATCTGTCAGCATGCCATCCTTTCATATTCTCCCATCGCTCTAAGCAGAAACAATGCTTTCACACCATGAATGCAAACACTGAATGAGCTACAAGTGACAAGAATAAAGCAACAATAACCACAATATAGAGAAATGCACAGACAACACTTTGACTTTAGCATTATGACAATGATTATTTCCTGTGTTTTATGACATGTACATATGTAGTTTACCATAAACACAAGCTGCTGTCTGAAACAACAGCTCTATTGAGTCTACGTAATGGTAATTAAACTGGAGAATGTGTTCACATGCTTCCCTTTTTTCCCAGTTGGCATTCCAACGTGGAGAAGTGTCTCAACAAACATGCAGTGAATCCTTCCGATCTTGACAATCCGAGGTAATAAAAAAGTGAATTAGAAGTCTTATTCACACTAATACAGTCAGCTGTACTTGCAGTGAATGGAATCTGCTGCAGTTTATTTACGATTGAGAGTAATGGGATTTGTGCAGAGAGGAAAATCCACTCAGAAACACTGCTTTTAAAAAAGACCCACTGGATGTGTGCCGTGCTTTTTGGGCCAGGTTCTGCTGCCTGACATATTTTTGGAATTCCTCATGGATAACAGGCCACACATCTACTTCGGAATGGGACAGTACAGCTCAGCACATAACTGTATAGCATCATAATTTATCATTTACCAAATAATATACTAATCATAGAAATACTGGAGACTTCGGGATGCACGGCATAAACTAAATGGATAGAAAAGAATAATACATCAAAAAATCACTTAACCATATCTGAATTAATTTTGATTTTTTATAATTTTGCATTTACAGCACAATAACAAAGGTTGCCATCCCTCTCACTGTCCACACACAGGTACGAGCATTTTGTGCATAGTTTGACTTTTATTCCCTTACCAAAACAAAAAAAACAAAAAAACATACTGCAGTCATTAAAACACCATTACTAATCCCCTGACATGTTTTTTAAATATATATAAAAATTAACAAAATCTCACAAATGTTGTTGGCATTGTATTCAGTAAAACTACCCGATAAAGGTGTTTGGAAATTTGGCTCAAATTACACAGAGAAAAAGTGTTCCATCTCCTACATTTCACACCTTGAAGGCAGATGATGACAGTTTTAATTAGGGACAGATCAATCGGGCCTGCTCAAAATGTTTGGCAGCCATGTTAAAAAAAGTAACAGGCTTTCATGCAAAATCTAAAGAAAATGCATCCAATAACGTCAAGGTTATTTTGTCATATTTTCTTTTTTGGATTAGAACAGATTTTATTTTTCAAACCTGGTGATATGCCGCGTGCAGTATGCTGCTCGAGCCAAGGAGAAATCAGTGTGAAAAACATAACCCTCTTTTGTGTTTTTGTCTCAGCAGCTGCTCAAGAGTGCTTCATGAAATCGACGGTAAAACAAAACGCACCACAGGCCACAATGTCCCAAGGTTTAGCACTTTTCTAAAGACTGAAAGGAACAAGAAAGGGCTCTGGAGGAGAGAAAACTAATTTATCTTGGAAAATGAAATTTATGGAGATTTTTTGGATGTTGAATGGGCCACTGTTAATCAATATCGGCATACAGTGTACACACCTGGGGGGCAAGACAGGTTAAATCGATATATGTCTGATTGAAGATCAATATCTCCTGTGTTCTATTGTCACATTTGCCAATTAACAAAAGCTTCTGTCCACATACTGAGCTACCCAAGTCTGACACAAGCAGATCGGGACATTCAACGCACCACAGCTGAAGCAATGTTCTATGACGTAGGACTCTGGATCTGGAATCCTCTCAAAACAAGTGTCCAAGATGGTCATTTTAGCCTTGGTTTACCCTTACTACAATGCAACAACTTATACTTCAATGGACATGGCCTCTGGGAACTATGACCCTCTGGAAATACAAATCATCTTTGACTGAACTTAGTGCCATCTGAACTGAGAAATCACTTCAGAATCAGAATACAGAATACATTTTAAATGAGAAAAAAGTGGTAGTGTCTCACAGCCACTTTGACACAAGCCTCCTTGAGCGCTGAGCAGGTCTGTGCTGCAGCCTCAGCGTGTGTCAGAGGTTCTGACTCTCGTTAGCTTGCCTGTTACGCTTATTGCTGTACACTTGGCAACCTCTCGTCAGTACGACCCTTTCATAAGCCTCCAACCACCAAGCGCCTGGCACCGAGCCGCCATGTGTTTGTGTGTGCATGTGTGTATGGGGTCAGGAGTCAAGCCAGACCTTTCTGATCTGTTTTGACACCACAGAATTGCACAAGTGACAGGGCTACTCAAACACACACACACCTCCGCACACACAGGCCCATAAAAGCATTATGGCACTAGGGACACAAACACATTGAATGGGTGAGTAAGCGCCGCTTACAAAGAGTACGTTCAGGGGAGAAAAGGACTTCTTTTGCTCGACTAGATCCAGATAGCATTTTCCTTCTGCTCTATCTTATTATTCATCAACCATTCCTCTTGACTCATTCATGTTGGAGGGAGCAGGGTGTGCAAGCAAAGCATGGCATGTCGCCTGGGACAAGCGGCTGCACTGAATCACATTACGGCACACAAGAAGAGAGAGGACAGAGGCAGGAGAGAGGAAGAGCGCAGCAGAAAAATGAGATGAAAGTGCTACAAATGAGAGATTTCCCTGTGAGGCGCATAAATCAGCCGACTATGAAGAGCGCAGCTCAGACTCCCAGGCTGTGGACTGGAGGCTCGTCCACACAGAGCTACTGGATTGTCTGTTCTGCCTCCGCTAAACAAGAACATTGTAGAAAACCAGGCTGCACCTTGTCTCAAACATGCTGAAAAAATCCATGGATCTTTGGAGTTTTCCATCAGCAAATGCTGTCCGCAAACACTTCAGTCAACGCTGAGTAACAAGTAAAAATGTTCTTACTTCTGACCACAGACTTTTTAGCCGCATCGTGCCCACCCACCCACAGCAGCAGGAAGAACTATATATGGTCAAGGCTAGCCTAAACGCTACAAGATGAGAGATTCTTGGGAAGCAGGAAGAAAAGAGGGGGCTGTCAGAGTAAGTTTTTCCATGTTGTTTCACCAAAGAAAACTGGGGAATTTGGGAAAAGGGGGTCACTTGGGTAAGAATGAAACACAATGATACGTGTGTAGGAGAACACAGACACACTTTAATTAAAAGCATAAGGTTGCTGATATTTCAGGAAAGCCTGCGGTGAGAGCCAGTAATGCAA